AAATATGCACCGATAGATCTTTCTTTTTTTTTTTTTTTTTCGTATAATAAGTGCATCTCTTTGAGATCTGAGAAATAAGGTCAACCTTGTAAGTACGCGAAACCGCACAATGGATTGGGTCAAGGTATAACGATTCCAAGCAAATGCTTTCAAAAGTTTGATAATCTTTTCGTTTTCATTTCAGAAAAATGTTCCACTTTATGATCAAATCATTGACTTTCATACGCATGCATTTATTAATCATTAATTTACGTGATTAATATCTTGATTCAAAAATTCTCTTAAAAATCTCTAAAAATTTCACTCGATCGCCATCAATGCCAATATACAATAAACGATAATAACATCGTTTATTAAAAATCTCTCCTCAAAAGTAACGCATCAATAAATTGCATCCTTTGAAACTCGAAGCGGTTAATTTTCATGCGGTTGAACAGAAGATTCGAAGAGAATCGGGTGCACAACGATTTCAAATCGATGATCTTTAATCGAGATAGATAGATAGATAGATAGATAGATAGAGAGAAAGAGGGAGGAAGAGAGGGAGGGGGTGAAGGCCAGCCCAAAGTCCAGAAGGGTGCTTCGCCTCGCGGGCAAGTACCCCAAATTTAAATCGTCGCTTCCACGACGACGACACCAGTGAATCTCCTCTGGGCGATGGCGAGAGAATTCGAAGAGGCAGGGTGAAAAGAGGGAACGAGAGGGAGGGCTCGGGGGAAACAATTTACCCGAAATTCGCCTCGTCGCGTTCGGCGACTGGATACACTCTTATTTGTCCCCTCGGCAATCTGTCGACTCCGAACGCTCAACCCCTTCTCCTCGCTTCCTCTTGGCCCTCCACCTCCTTTCCAGCAACCCCTTCAACCCCGATCCCCACCAACCCCATTCTTCCTCTCTCTCCCACTCCCTTCTCGCGAAGCGCGAAACCGCGAAGCCTCACGGGAATTTTAAACACCGGTGATTCGTCGGTGTTCTTTAGCGCAACTCTTATCCCTTTCCCTCTTGTCCCACCTATAAATATACACGGTGCTCCATCCTTCTCTTTCCTTTTTCCCCTTCTCATTCTCTCTCCCTCTCTCCCTCCTTCTTCGCCGCTTCTTTTTCCTTCTGTTCGTCTTCTTTTCGTCTCGCCTTTTTCTTTCGTTTTACGAGCATCCCTACTTCCTAGCTGGAGCCGTTACCTCACGACGAGCCGTCGAGACACCCGTGCACTTCCCATGCCGACAATGCCAGGAAAACATTCAAATCTCGCGCAGCCTTTCCTCCCCGACACGTGAAAATCGGGCGAGCGGAGCAAGCGAGGCGATTGCGATGTTGTGTTTGTAGAAGGGGGGGACCGCCTCGACGTTAACGCGCCCCTCCGATAAGGGTGTAAGGGTGCTTCAACGGGGTACTTACGCACTGGTAATCTTATAACGAACGTGGCCTGTGAATTAATCCGTTAGCTAGAATTGGCCATAGGGTTGCTGAATGCTGACTGACATATCATCGTCAATCGATATTTGAGTTGTGAATATTTAATTCTTGACACGACAGTTTCTTTTTTTTTTTTTTTATTTGAAAATTATTTGAAATGTAATATTTATTTATTTATTTATTTATTCATCTACAGTGCAGTGTATTTATTCCTATAATTTTAAAAATACGAAATACGTACGTAATATCGTTACAATACAATATCCAGGTCAATTTTAGATATTCGATACGAACTTTCGCTCTCCATTCTCTGTATCTACTTTCATTCAACTCAAATTGAGTATATTTTATATTTAAAGAATTTTTATCGTTTATATTTTCGACGTAACATTTTATTTCATTTCATTTCTCTTCGCGTAAGAATCTCAAATTCCCTTCTCCTTCTTCTAAAGACTTTCTCCTTCCTTTATCAATCCCCCAATTTTCCTCCAAACAACTTCGAAAATTAACGTTTCTTTCCCTCATCCATACGTCATACATACACATACACATACATATATACATCGCCCCGCGCTTTGAATTCTGAAAACTACTTTCCACCCGAACGCGGATGTGGATCGCGCGAGAAAGAAGAAAGGCGAGGGAGAAGAAAAGAAAGAAAGAAAAAAAGAAGAAGAAGAAAAGATGAAGCGAAGGCAAAAGAAGGGAGAAGAAGGAGGAGGAGGAGGAGGAAGTAGAAGAGCATCCGCGGGGGTAGCGGCCGATTAAATCCGAAACACAGTCGACACGTTCCATCGAATCGAAATTCATCTAACGGGGGGAGAAGGGCATAAATACGGGCGCGTTGTTGCGCATCTGCTTTGGCAAAAGAACGGAACGGTTCGAGGAAAAGGACGAGGAGAGACGAGGAATCACTCGAATCGGCGGGAGCTCACGGCGGGGCGTGTAATATTCCCGGGAAGTAAAGCTCCCGAGAATTTCAAGACCCCTCCCCCACCGTCAACCCTCTGTGTCCGTCTCCCTGTGGCCCCTCTATATAACCTCCACCTCCCCCCATCCTTTCTTCCCACCCTGTATCCTCCTGCTCGCAGCAGGCAGCAGCAGCCACCCCACCGACTACGAGAAGGGATGCAAATAACTGGTGATAACAACAGATAGCTCTGCCGGTACGGCTCGCTCTATATCTGTGTCGGTGTACCACTACGCGGTGGCGGTTTAGGTTTCGGGGGCGAAGGGAGATGGAGGAAAAGAGC